TCATCCAAGACCTAGGCTTTCCTCATCCTCCATCATGCTTGGTATGCTGGCTTTTTGGGTCCTCTGTGATGTTCCACTGATACTCTTCGCACAGGGGAAACTTTGCTCCTAAACTTCCTAAATCAATTTGGGAATATTGCTGTTTGGGGAAGGGGTGAGGAATGGGCAGGGGACAGTGGTCCTGTGGTGGTTTAGACTGTTATTCCCCATTCTTTCCTTCCTCTTTATTTAAGTATACACTCATGCCCTTTGCTATGTGACTTTCTTGGGCCAATAGAATGTCATAAGACATGATAAAAGTAGATACTTTAAACGTGCTTTTGTGTTGGGATGCCTGGGTGGCTAAGTTAGTTAAGCGTCTGCCTTTGGCTCAGGTCATGATCCCAGGGTCCTGGAATCGAGTCCCGCATCAGGCTCCTTGCTCAGTGGGGAGCCTGCTTCTCCCTCTGCCTGCCGCTCCCCCTGTTTGTGCTCTCTCTCCCTCTCCGACAAATAAATAAACAAAATCTTTTTTAAAAATGTGCTTTTATGATTTGACTTGGCCTCTTACACCCCTGTGATGTGTCAAGAGAAAAGCAAATTCCAGATATCCACTGCCCCTTCAGCTTGGGTCCCAGATTAAATAACTGAACATAACCAGGAGCCTGAAGTTCTACCACTCCCTGTTAAGCCCAGCTTGGATAAGCCAAACCATAGTCAATTTCTACTACCAAAAGCATGAAAATAGATCGTTTCTGTTGTAAACCATTGAGATCTTGGAGCAGTTTGTTGCACAGCAAAAACTGACCATTGCAGGCCATTCTGAGGACTCCACCAATGTCTAAGCCATTTAATAGAATCAATGATCTTACACCAGAACTCAGAGATGTGGAGAAATAGTTTATCTGTAAGTAATGTGGTCTTTCTTACAGCCTTCATCTACTGGGTAGCATTAAAAGCTGGAGTTGTTTCAGTGCAATACCATAGTATAAACAGGCTGTCCAGATACTTTTTAGTCTCTATAAGTAAAAATGCTCAGAATCTCAGATCTCTCAGAGGCCTTCCATCCTCTCAGGCTTCTTGCCAAGTAGCTGTTGGGGGTGCATGGAGAGAGAGATGAAGCTTAAGTGATATCCTCAAGAAGGGTATAAGAAGAACTGGGATCCTCATGCTCTCAGTGAGTCTTGTGGTTTCTCTGGTTTATGGGCCATGGTCATGTTCACCCTGCTGGCCTTTGGCTAAAGTCACATCTCTCTTGTTTAGGTCTGATCTCATTGGTACTCTCTAGCTGACTTAACCTCCCGTAGCTCTGCAAAGCCCAGGGGACCCCTTGAACTTCTACTATGTCCCCCATCCAGCCCCTGACCCAAGCAATCCAAACTACATGCTTCCATTCCCGTTTGCCATCTTCCTGCCACACCATGGCCCCATGACAGGCCCATGGCTCTCAACCGAATACTCATCACTGGGGAAGGGCTGGAAGTACAAACTAGACCTTATCTCTCTGACAGTTCACCCTGCTTTGCCCACTTATTAAATTGGGCACCAGTTTGTGCCAACTTCAATGATTTCTTCTATTTTCTGGATATTTCTGAAGCCATTTTCCCAATTCTCCCCAATTCCAAGTTAAACCTTTTTGATTCTTATCTCACTCTCACCTCCCAGCTATCTTCTTCAATGTCCAAGACAGGAAATGGCAGGCTTCTCTTTTTTCCTTTCATATATCCTTGGCTTCCTGACTCTAGTTGCCACTTCAGAAGACAGAAGTTCCTTTTTGGAAACAATCCTTTGATGTAGGTGTGGTCATCATCATCATGGATAGATGAGGAAATCAAAGACAATAGACAAAATTAGCCCCTCCTTTGGTAGAAATTTGAATCTAGGTTTGGATCTTGATCTTAAATAGGAACTAAGTGAATATAGAAAATTATTTGTCTCTCACAGAGTCCAGTTTTCAAACCTATTGTCTTGCTGAAAAATTCTATTTTGAATTTCAATGCATATTAGTTTTTTCTTTTCTTTTCTTTTTTAAGAAGGAGGGAGGGTCAGAGGGAGAGGGAGAAAGAATCTGACGCAGACTCCACACTGAGCGCTGAGCCCAATGTAGGGCTCAATCCCATGACCATGAGATCATGACCTGAGCCAAAACCAAGAGTCGGACACTTAATAAACTGAGCCACCCAGGCGCCCCTCTTTTCCTTTCTTTTTAAAAAAGATGTATTTGTTTATCTTAGAGAGATAGAGCGAGGGAAGAGGCAGGGTCCCTGATGAGCACAGAGCCCAAGACACATGGGGCTCGATCCCAAAACCCTGAGATCATGACCTGAGCTGAAATCAAGAGCTGGATGCTTAACCGACGGAGCCACCCAGATGCCCCTCTTTTCCTCTCTCAGTATTCCTTCTGAAACAATCTGAACCTCCTCACAAGCAGATTGATGCCATAACCAAATAAGGAGAAGGTCATTTCATTGCTAAGGGCAAAGAGAAAAACACATTAATAGTTTCTAAGGATCTAAGCCAAAAGTGGGAAACTCATTCCAGCTCCCTGCTCTACTTGACTTCCCTACTCTGAAGTCCAGTGAAGTTTTGTCCAGCTCTTTGAGTGTGGACATGATCATATGTGTCAGTGTGTGTGTTTGCTTATGTGTGACAATGTTGAGAAAAACCAACCCTCCAATTATTCTTTCTTTTTTTAAGCTTTTATTTATTTATTTGAGAGAGAGAGAGCACATAAGCAGGGAGGAGGGGCAGAAGGAGAGGAAGAAGCAGACTCCCTGCTGAGCAGGGAGCCAGACACAGGGCTCGATCCCAAGACCTTGAGATCATGACCTGAGCCAAAGGCAGACGCTTAACAGACTGTGCCACCCAGGCACCCCTCCAATTATTCTTTCAAAACTGTTCTTATGCCAGAAGTCTGGCTTTTAAAACCCCAAGGCAAAAAATTTGACTAATTTATAATTGATGTTAACTATTATCATTCTTTTCTTGAGATAAAACCAGAACACTTGTCTTCTGTGATGAGACTAGGGACAGGGGTTACAGGAAAGATAGGATAATTGGTTAATATTTTGAAGATCTTTTATCTCTAGGATCTATGTCAATGGCAATAGAAAGAAGAGAAGGCAGTAATGGTGACCCAACCAAACTGCCACTGAGCTGTCTAGCCCTCTGGCTCCTCTTTCAACTTCCTTAAGCCATAATCCTGGATCCAGTAACCTCTAAATGCAACAAAATGAAGTCAAGATATTTCTGAGTCTTAACCATATGCCCAGCAGTATGTTATGTACTTTCATACGCATTACCTCATTTTATTCTCAAAGCATCCTTCAAAGTAGATATTAGTATTCTCACTTTTTAATGATGAGAGAACAGACTGAAAGAAGTTGAATAACATCTCCAAAGCCTCACAGCTAAAACATGAAAGAGGTGGGATTCAAACCCTATCCCCTATGATTTCTAACCTCATCATCCTTTCCTTATATTAAGGTACCTCTTGAGAGAATGTGCCAGTACCACATGGGGAGGATTCTATAAAAATGAGCATTTTCTTTCTTGTAAGAGTTTATTTTTAAAACAAGTATGAAAGTGAATTTACTTAACCTGGCTTTAAACTAAAGGCATCAGATTGAAGCCACTGTTAAAAAATATCACAAATGGAGAGGAAGGTCCTAGCTCCCTTGCCTTGTATTAGAGGGAGCTCATACTGGGATGGGTCAAAAAGCTACCCAATCTGGCGGTAATGTTTGGGATATTTCCCACTCTTGTTAGGCTTTTGAAGCCTAACAGTAAGTAAAGAAAACAATGCCTAGGTTCACATTTTTTTAGAGATTTTAAAAAATTCTAAAATGCATATTTTCTTCCAGACCAGTCTATGCTTTTAGCTGCCCTGCATGTTTAGCTCTTTTTGAACACAGTCCAAATGTCATCAGAACTCCTTGGTGAGTAGAGGAAGTCCCTCAAACATCAAGAACCCAGAGTTCTGGTTCAGTTTGGTTATCTATTGATGCATAACAAACTGCACCAAAACTTGGTGTCTTAAAATAGTACTTGTTTTATTGTTTCTCACAATGCAGTGGGTCAGGAATTCTGGCAGGTCATAGCTTGTTTCTGATTCATGTGATGTCTGCTGGAACTGGAATGTCCATGAGGGCTTCTTCACTCACATGCCTTGAGCCTCAGCTTGGAGGGCTCGAGTGGCCAGGGGATGCAATTGCTCAAGTGGGGTCATACATCTGAGGCCTCAATTCTCATTGTTGCTGGCTTCCTCAGTTCTTTATTGTGAAATCTCAGGGTCCCTCCCTCTCTGTGCAGCCTTTCCACACAGTCACTCCAGCATAGTAGCCAGACTTCTTACCTAGAGACTCAAAGTTCCCAAGAGAGGAAAAAAGGAGACTACCAAGGTTTCTTTAGGCTTAGGCTCAGAACTGGGTCATAGTCACATCCACTGTACCTTAATGGTTACATCATGTGACAGGGCCAGCACAGATTCAAGGAGAGGGGACCACACAATGTTGTGAATATTGGGAGGCATCCTTTAGGGGTCACCAGCGCAGCAGACCACCATAGGTCTCAACCTACGTCAGCCAGTCTGGCAGAAATTTCCCTCCCTTGGTGTTTTTAGATGAGCCCACAAGAGGCAGTATGTGTATGTGTAAACATCAGCTGTAGCCACCATGAAGTATCTGCCATGTTCCTCCTCTCCTATTCTGGTTCAATACTCATAGTTTCAAAGCTGCTAAGGAAGCTTTGCTGTTACTACGACTGATACCCTACAGAAAATGCCATCAACCAATCCTCAGAATACCACATTAATGCTGGGGTGTGTGACAAACTGGGACAATAAGCCCTACAGTAGTAGGACTTGTGTCTGGAGTCCCTGACATCTCTCAGGAAACAGCTCCTTCTGCTGATGAGCTGGGGCCTACGAACCACTGGCATTCAAACTTGTATTGGGGCTTGGGGTGATGGTGAGCAGACATCACATTATCCCTTTCTCTTTCTCATAGATACCAAGCAAAAGGTCAGTCAGTGCTCTCAAGCTTCTAGAGCAATAAAGGAAGACAGTAGAATGGGAAGACATCTTCACCAGCCAGACAAGATGCCCTGTTACTCACGTAACTTTGTGATAATCTGAGAAGTTACTGAAGTGGAGTTCTCCCAGTCATTTGGAGGTAAAATGTCACAAATGTCTGTAATAAAATAGTAGGTTATAAAAGGACACAGAAAGAATTCTGCTAAGGAATTCTTTTTAATAATCAAAATCACACAGCAAAAAGAATAGAAAAGGAGACAACAGCAACAAATTGTTGGAAACTGGAAAGCTGAAAAGCAATGGTAACTAATTTAGCAGACCAGAGAGAGCTGGGGAAAGCAGAGCAGCAACCAAATTTACATCACAGAAGCTGCAAAAGGAATCAGTGACAAGGTCACCTATGGAGGTGAGTATGGGGCCACTTGAGAAGCAGCTGAACCCCAAATACCTCTCCTCTGAGAACAGGTATGTGATTTCCCCTCCCAAACTAGTAGAAGTCTAAGAATGTATATCCTAGAAGTTACCAAGTAGAGAGTCTCTAGACTAGAGGGCACCAGACAGCAAGGGTGTCATCCTAAAATAGGAGGATGTGAAAGTTTAGAGTTTTCCACTGGAAGTTGAGATTCACAGCCTTTTCCCCCACTTAGGTCACAGAACTCTGGCAGCCAGACTGGAACCCTTCAGACAAGAGATTGTCTAAAAAATATGACAAGGACAAAAGAAAAGACCTAAAAATGCAGATGGGTGTATCCAAGTAACAGCCCAGGTAGGTCACTACCCGCACCCATATCCCCTGGGCAGTCCCACTTCAGTGTACTTCTGCTGACTTCCAAGTGCCAGCATCTGAGTTTCTTTGCCTGTGGTCTCTCTCCAAAGCCAGGGAAAGCTACTCTGCTTAGGAATATGGCAGGCCAGAAGTGCTAGGGAATTAATAACCTCCCCACCGGGAGTGGCTCTCAACCAATGACTGTCAAGATTTGTTGTATGAATACCCCATTTCCCTCACCCTTGCTTGCAATAATTCTGAGGTGTGGGTTTTACACCATTTTCTCAGAATTTCTCCATAGGATTAAGCCATAGTCATTCTCAGTTATAGCTAGCATTGTGGCTGCCTTCTCTTCCCTGTCTTACTTCCTTTCTCCCTACTTGTGTTTCCACTGAGTGCTTCCATTAGAATACATGTCTCAGGGTCTCTTTTTTTTTTTTCCCCCCCACTGGTTGTCAAATGATCCTTTATTGAAACATTTTCCTTTGTAGTTAACTAGCCAGGCATTCCAGCGCACCACTGTTGATGTCATCTATGATGTCATGAGGGTGGCGGCCATCTACATTGCAGCCCACAGACTGGGCAGTCCCCAGGATCTCTTTAATGGTTCCAGAGAGTTCTCTCGCTAAAGATCGGTGTCGCATCTGTCGGGCAATATTGACAATCTCATCAAAAGTGATATTTCCACTGTGCTTAATGTTTTTCTGCTTCTTTCTGTCTCTTGGTGGTTCCTTGAGGGCTTTGATAATCAGGGCAGAGGCAGAAGGTACCAGTTCAATCTGGGCCTGTCTGTTCTGAATGGTCAGTTTCACCGTAATCCTTAGACCCTTCCAATCCCCGGTTGCCTTGGCGATGTCATCACCAACCTTTTTTGGAGACAGACCCAGCGGGCCTATCTTCGGGGCCAGGGCAGACGTGGCATCGACTTCGCCACAGGTGCACCTCAGGTACGCGACTTTGATCTCGTTGGGGTCGAACTTAGGCGGCATGGCGGAGGCGGCTGGTGTCGGATGAACCTGGATTCCGGACGACCGAAGAAAGTTGCACCTTTGCCTCCCCGAGCCGAAAGCCAAAAAGTCAGGGTCTCTTTTGAAAGAACACAAACTAATACAATCACATCAAAATTGAAAATGCCCATGCAAATTGAATAGAACTTCTAGTCAGCTTTGTAGTGCCCCCTTCTAAATATAAAGTCAAGGATGACCCAGAAATTTAAGAAAAAATTCTGTCTTGAAATATGGAGATCAAACAAAACAAAAATAAAATAACTTGGAGGAGACAGAGACTAAAAAGGGGGAAGAAAACTTACCAAAAAATCTATTATTAATATCTTCAAGAGAATTAAGAAATTAGATTAATGAAATAAGAACAGAAGATTATAAAAAATAACATTCAGAGAACAAAACAAAGCTCTTGAAAATAAAAAAAAGTGATAGCAGAAATGAAAAACATAATATGGAAGATAGACAAAAAGAAGAAGATAGGGCACCTGGGTGGCTCAGTTGTTGGGCGTCTGCCTTTGGCTCGGGTCATGATCCCAGGGTCCTGGGATCGAGTCCCACATTGGGCTCCTTGCTCGGCGGGAAGCCTGCTTCTCCTTCTCCCTCTCTCGGGGCTTGTGTTCCTGCTCTCGCTATCTCTGTCTCTGTTAGATAAATAAATAAAATCTTAAAAAAAAAAGAAGATAAAAAAAGAAAAAGAAGATATGAAAGATAAAATCAATGACATCTCCCAGAAAGTAGAATAAAAAGAAAACAAAAAATGAAAAATGAGAGAAAAAATATAAAAAATTCTGGCAGTCCAAGAGGTCCAATATATGATTTGGGGAATTGTATAAAGACAGAATAGAGAGAATACTTGGAAGGATATCATCAAAGAAATAACTTAAGAAAATCTCCCAGAACTGATGGACACAAGTTTCTAGAATGAAGGTGCCTGGCATTTTAAAGGAAAATATGCCAGTTCCAGAGCTACATCATTTTAAAATTTCACCAGTGAGGACAAAGGGGAGATCCTAAAAACTTCTAGAGAAGATAAAACAGATTTTATACAAAGGATCAAGTGTCAGAATGTTGTCCACAGGAGGCTAAAACACAGTCACAGTGAAGCCATGCCTTCAAATTTCTTTTTTTTTTTAAGATTTTATTTATTTATTTGAGAGAGAGAGCATGAGCGGGGTGAGGGGCAGAGGGAGAAGCAGACTCACCGTCGAGCAGGGAGCCTGATGCGGGGCTCGGTCCCAGGACCCAGAGAGATCATGACCTGAGCTGAAGGCAGACGCTTAACCGGCAGAGCCACCCAGGCGCCCCAGGAGAACTCATTCTTAAGAACTAGAAACTTCAAGGTGCCTGGGTAGCTCAATTGGTTAAGCAACTGCCTTCGGCTCAGGTCATGATCCCGGAGTCCCGGGATCAAGTCCCGCATTGGGCTCCCTGCTCAGCAGGGGGTCTGCTTCTCCTTCTGACTCTCTTCCCTCTCATGCTCTCTGTCTCTCATTCTCTCTCTCAAATAAATAAGTAAAATCTTAAAAAAAAAAAAAGAACTAGAAACTTTAGGAGCTCCTGGGTGGTTCAGTCAGTAGAGCATGCAACTATTGATCTTGAGAATCATGATTTTGAACCCCACGTTGAAGGTAGAGTTTAGTTAAAAACAACAACAACAACCAACAAAACAACTGGAAATTTTGGCACTTGCCTTCCTGCCTGGCCTCCACCAATAATCCTAATGTTACTTTTGCATATGGCCTGGACTCCTTTGCTGCTTTATTCTTTTCCAGCATTCTTGGCAAATCTCTAACTCTGCCAGCTCCGCCAGTGTACTCACGTGGCTGGCCATATCCAGGGGAAATGAAAACCACACAACCATGCTGGCAGATCTCACTTTGAATTTATCGTAAGCCTCAAGTAGACGTTAGTGCTGACAATCATATTGCCCTTCACCCTAGAGTGTTCGACACCCAAGGAGTACACAGAGACCTTACAAGGGGTCTGAGGGCATGACCAGTTATGAAGGTACCCATTTTTGCGTTCCCTATTGCCATACGTCCTTTTCCCTAAACCTGGTTTGCCTGAGAACCGTTCTGCAGATTCTCTTTTCCCCTCCTCCTCTTTTACCATTGCATATATGCCATTCTCTCAAGGTGAGGAAATGTGAAAATATCTGGGTTGTCAAACAGAAGTACCATTTGGAATATTTGGAATATTGTTTTTGAAAGAAAATGACTTTAATGATTGAGTAATGAATCCTTTAGCAAGTCAGGTGGTTTCCAATTCTTTGCTTTCAACAAAATTAAAAGAGAATATAATTGAGTTGTCAGCTTGAATATCATTAAAAATACTTTTAATGATGGCTCATTATGTGATTTTTGACATATAATTCAGAAGGGGTTCAAAGAAGTGAGTGTTACTGCTATAATAAAAGTATTTCCTTTTCCTTTTACTTATTTATGTGAACAAGGACACTCAGGCCTTATTCTGATGAAAAAGAAAAAATAGAAAAGGAATTGATAATTAATGCTGCCTAATTCCAGCAACATGATTCAATGACACATGAACTAGTTGAAAACTCATTTTAGAGATGCATTTTGGATAACATTTTATATTAATATTTAATAATTATCAAATTTTATAATATACTTATGTGATTTTCATCTTTTTGTGCTATTGCTAATGGTTCAACCAGAAGAAAAATTGAAACATTTAGAATGTTATGGTTAAAAGAAAATAAAAGGAACTAATTTTTAAAAATATATTTTGTTGCAGAGAAATATAAGGAGATCATTACAAGACTTTCAGATATCACATTTATTAAATTAAGATAAAAAATTCTGTGGTGGAAGTGAATGAAATAGGAATTAAAATCTCCACTGCAGAAGAAGAGTTCATTCATAACTTTTTTTTAAAACATGTTTTTTAAGTAGATTCCATGCCCAAAGTGGGACTTGAACTCATGACCCTGAAATCAAGAGCTGCACGTTCTACCCACTGAGCCAGCCAGGCACCCTTATTCATATCTCTTTTAAAAGGCAGATGTTGGCGCACCTGGGTGGCTCAGTCGGTAAAGCATCTGCCTTTGGCTCCGGTCATGATCCCAGGGTCCTGGGATTGAGCCCGTCATTGGACTCCCTGCTCAGCAGGGGAGGGAGTCTGCTTCTCCCTCTACCCTTCCCCTCTGCTCGTGATCTCTCTCTCTGTCTCTCTCCCTTGGATAAATAAATAAATTCTTTAAAAAAAATAAATAAAAGGTGGATGTTGAATATCAAATAATGATGGCATTTTAATTCTTATTCTTATTCTTATTATTGTTATGTTAATCACCATACATTACATCATTAGTTTTTGATGTAGTGTTCCATGATTCATTGTTTGTGCATAACACCCAGTGCTCCATGCAGAACGTGCCCTCTTTAATACCCATCACCAGGCTAACCCATCCCCCCACCCCCCTCTCCTCTAGAACCCTCAGTTTGTTTTTCAGAGTCCATCGTCTCTCATGGTTCGTCTCCCCCTCCGATTTACTCCCCTTCATTCTTCCCCTCCTGCTATCTTCTTCTTTTTTTTTTTTCTTAACATATATTGCATTATTTGTTTCAGAGGTACAGATCTGTGATTCAACAGTCTTGCACAATTCACAGCGCTCACCATAGCACATACCCTCCCCAATGTCTATCACCCAGCCACCCCATCCCTCCCACACCCCCAACACTCCAGCAACCCTCAGTTTGTTTCCTGAGATTAAGAATTCCTCATATCAGTGAGGTCATATGATACATGTCTTTTTCTGATTGACTTACTTCACTCAGCATAACACCCTCCAGTTCCATCCACGTCGTTGCAAATGGCAAGATCTCATTCCTTTTGATGGTGATGGCATTTTAATTCTATTGGATACATTAAAAAGAATAATATGAACAGTTTTACTTTAAAATGTCAATATTTGGGACACCTGGGTGGCTCAGTCAGTTAAGCATCTGCCTTCGGCTCGGATCATGATCC